GTGCCTATTTCTGCCATTTCTCCAGCAGTGACTGGAAGTCTGGCAACAGGAGCTCAGAAGGCAGGTGATGGGGTTTTCTCAGGGCTGAGGATCAGCAGGATGTGTGGTGGAAGGCAAGCGGGCAGGAGCCGAGGGGCCCAGGTGTTCGTGAGAACCCACCCGAAAGGGCTGCATAGGTTGTCAGGACTGGGTGGGCCTGGACGGCCCAGGAGGAGGGGGGAGACTGAGGGCAAAAAGGGGGGTGGATGCTCAAACAGACACTGAGGTGGAAGGACCACGGGGCTCAAGCTGCAAAGCCTGGAATCAGATTTCTATCTGTCCCTTAACTGAATTATCAGACCTCTGGGCCCATGCAGGTGTCGTTTCCTTTTCTCAGGGAAGTGACTCTCTCAGGTGGCTGACGTGAAGAGTCTATGAGGGAACGTGTGGAAGTCTCTAGCACGGCACCCAGAACACGAAAGTTTTCTGCAAATACTGCGGTTGCTTGTCCTCCTCAGTGGGATGCACTGCAGTGACTTCTGTGCTTTAGATTTTATACGAAAAAGCTCTGTATTTGTTTAAGGGTCACATTAAGAAGAAAAAGACATTCCTTGGGATTTTTTTTTTCATAATAGTTTTTTTCGTGCTGACAAAGCTTCTCTTTGCAATCAAACTAGTCAGGCTCTTTGGAGCCCTTTTTGACACAAAAGAAAATGTGTGTCCTGAGGACAATGACAAGAAGTTGATCAAATATCCTCACTTCCTTTTTCAAATGTCATCAGTCCGATAGCTCTCTGCTCTTCACAAAAGAAGGCATGAGAAGTGATGAAAATTATCTCTTTGACCAAACTCTAGCCAGGCTCCTCTGAGCCCTTTCTCAACTAGACCTCAACCTTGATCAATAAAGACTTGAACAAATATTAACACAGTTTCTAACGGCTCAATGTCTCACCCTAGGTGACCCTAGTCTCCCTAGTGTCTGCCTGAGAAAAGTCCTTGCTGCCCCCAGAACTGCCTGTTGCACTGATAGGTCCCGTCCCCCAGCCTCCGTGGCACACGAGCGCCTGTCTTCAGTGAGGGCCAGTTCGCAAACTTGGATGGATTTCACACACATCAACACGCCCTTTTAGCTCTCTGTGTACTTCCCTTCCCTGACTCCATGAAGTCCCTGTTTGCCAGCCCTCTTCTCCTTCATTCTCTGGTGAAAATGCCCAGTCACTATACACTCAGAGTGAAGCTCAGCGCCATCACCTACTGTCAGCAGTTAGTGAATAAAACCTCTTTTCCCCACTTTAACCAACATCTGGCTGTGTTTATCTCTGACAGTACAGACATATGCTCCTTGTATCTTTCTCCAAACTTGAAACTCTATATGGGAATAATAATTGTTGGCTATTTATTTATTTTTAAAGTACTAATTATATCTAGCAAGTAATTCTGCATGCTTTGATATATCTGATTTGTACTTGAGCCCAAGGAGTAACTTTGTTTATAAATACTCTGGGATACAGATTTTATCAGATTAGATGTATAGGTTAACCAAAACAGATGATAAGTTTGTTTAGGAAATCATTCATCACAGCATCTCTGAGCTGGCTAGGTTATCAGATCATAAATAGAAATATCTTAATATAAAATAAATAGCCAGACATATTTATAAAATTAACTAGAAATCCTAACAGCCTAGCTAGAAATTTCTAGCATGTACATCTTTTAATTTTCTTCCCAAGGCAGTTCTATATTAAATGCAATTAATAACAAAATAAAAAGAATGAAGTAGAAACCAGAGCATTTCCAGTTTCCAGAATTTTCTGTGTGCTCTTGAGAGTGAGATTTTTGAGGTAGATAGGACTTTTATGCCAATTATATATTCTGTTCCCCTTCATCATCCTCTAAATCTAGTGGTTTAGTAAGGCATTTTGAAAACCTGGGTTCATGCCCATTAGTGGGGAATGAATCAATTTAGTTGGTTGTTAGACTTTTTCTAAAGATGGATTAGAATAAGATGTAACAAAAGAGAACAAATTGGAGTTCATCTATAAGCGAATAGGTAATATAATATCTAAAGATTCTTCTTCTGCTAAATTTACCTGTGTATATGTGTGTGTGTGTGTGTGTGTGTGTGTGTGAATTGGGTGATGATATGTTCTTACCATTGACTGAAGACAAACTAGTTTAGGAAACACGCCCCAGTGCAATGACAAGACCTCTTAACCAAACACACTAGCCTTCTGCAGTCTTGAGCTGCATTCATTCAGTGAATTCAGCCAATATTTAGAACACTTTTTGTTGTGTCCAGCACAGTCCTGGGGTCAGCTTACCAGGGTGCTTACTTTTGTCTGGCATTAGACAAGAAAGGGAGGTCCCATCTATAGCAAGGAGAACCTAACCAGCACATACTGCACTGTGAGACAAAAGAACTACAGGGGATTCACTATCTTATCAAAGCTTCCTAGTGTAAATAAGTATAGCCCCAAACAGCGTTTGTCAGAGTGTGATATCAGCACAATTTAAAAAATAAACAAATTGCTGAAGACACTTCTGCACCTCTCTCTCATGTGCCTCCTGCTTTGGGAAGGACCCAACTGTCCGATGGGTTATAGGTTTCGAATGCTCAGACCTGTCCCACTGACTGTTTTTAAGCTGCTCGACACAATGGGAAAGGTTTGGAAATATATTCCACCCCCCCATTAGCTGCATAACTGCTGTCTTTTCTTAATTGCTAAATGACAAGTATTATAAAAAATTTTCATTCATATGAGCATGTGTACATGTAGGTTTTGATGTTACAGACACAAATCTGCTTGATGGCAAGAGTCTGGGCAACCACAAAGTGAAACTCTTTATCAGAGTTAGAAGACCTATACCAGGCACACAGAAGGTGCTCCATAAATACAAATCAGTGATTGAATGAATGAATTCTCAAGTTTGCAGTATGACTCATAAATAAATCTATTTAAAAAGACAGTGTTACTGTTATCAAAGCTGATGGCTGATGCACATGGAAAATGCAAAAGAAATATTACTTGAGTTTGAATTTATCTGGATAAGATTAACCAGATTAACCACCATTAAAACAATCAGTAAATACTGAAAAAAGAACAAAAGTAGTTTTTCCCTGGTTTTTGAGGCTTTTTCTGACACTTGATCATTTTAATTCCTAATAAACCAAAGTAAATGATGGAGCTCATCTGCAGCCTTTAAAGGAACGACAGCCATCTACTTCAGCTATGTGTCCTTCACAGACTAGCTCCAAAATCACAACACACACTGAATCTGAAAGCCTTATGTAGGAGGCTAATTTACGAGGTTTCTTCCTAATCATGCAACTTTGAGAGAAGCTATATTCAGAAGTTCTACTTACTTCATGTCTCATAATAGCATGCTTAATCTGAAGGTAAGGCCTGAGAAAGAGGCTATTTAACTACATTTCCCATAAATACTCATTTTATGATAGTGGGGGCAATCCATTTTTTAATGATTGCCTGGCAAAACTGGTGCTAGCTCAGACTTGTTGGAGGGTCCCAGATTACCTACAAGGTCGACACCTAACTCTACACAGTGCCAGGGGCCAGTCCTGAAATATAAAGGTTTTAAAGGGGAGGATTTATGTAAGAAAGACACTATCCCTTAAGTACCTCTGTTGGGAAAAACATTTCAGAAGTTCAGGGTAAGAGAGGGCCTGTAACAAGCAGAACTTCAATCAGTAAAAGAAATATGCTTAAAACAAACTTAAAAGCTAGGGAATCAAAACTGTTAATAACACGTTTATAGCTTGTAGGCCCGAAACAGAGGACTGAAAATATGTAGAGAATTCCAGCAGAGAAAGAAGTGGAATAGCCTACATTTCTTTACCTTACAAAGATTAGTCTATAATTTGTCTGAGTCTCAGTTGCATTACTTTTCAAAATAATCTCATGGAACAACCTAAACACTCATGAAATTTTGCCATGAGTTAAGCTTTACTTTTTTGTGCCAAAATGTCGGAAAAGGGGTATGTTCCTTAATTTCATACATACAAAACAACTGGAGTAGAAATTTTATGGAAAGCCGTTCTGTTTATTACTCAGCTTTAATCATGCTTATACTACGTGCAACGAAACTATGACATCAGCAATCCTTTGGAAACCTGAATTTCAGTCATGTCCTTGTAATTATGTTAGAAACCTTGACAATGGCTTGCTTTTGTTGCAGGACAAAAGTTTGTCTTTTGGGGTTTTCTGACCACTCACCTTCAATTTGGAGTCATTTACTGGACTCTTTTCCTAGATGAGTTTCTACGGACGGCCTTTAAGGGGAGTATGGATGGACAAGCTACTTTCTCTTGGTATAAAGAAGAACACAGTTCAAATCCATGACTCTAAGCCATGTGGATTTTTAAAAACTTCCCTAAATTATTCAATGCATTTGACTTGCAGATGTGCCACTGCTTCATATAAATACTTTGCTTTGAAACAAGGATCTAAAAGGAATGTAATCAGTCCTGCTCCAGTTGTATGTACATGAAAAACTATTAGAACAGCACCCCCCAAACAGTGTTCAGTGGTTTCAATTTATAACATTGGCAGACAGGCTCAGTGTATTGCTAACTGTGTGCAAACTAGATCCTACAAGGTGAAAAATAAACCTCTTTCACCCTCAAATCACGACACCTTTTTAGCTTAATTTAGATTACTGTGAATCCATCTTTATGGATTTTGTTGGAAATCCTGTTTGATGTCATTGCCATTGCAAATCCAGCAAATTTCATTTCTATATAACATTAGGCCAGAAAGGAACACACCAACAGACAAACACACAATGGAAACATGCAGTGGAGTTGTGCTTATGCATGGATATAAATGTGCACAGAGAAGAGGCCAAGCACATCACTTCATTTAATGCGGGCACAGGTCTGTACCAAGAATCTGAAACATTGTAAACAAGTCTTAAGCAAAGGAGGAAATGTAGAGGGGAAAGGAAGCTGAGAAAAAATGAGCAGGAAATGGGCAAGATGACTCATCTATACTTGAACATCTGACCTGTCAGTTGGTCGTCGCCTGCGGCAGGGGCGATGCGAATGTAAGGTGTTGTAAGCTGAGTCACGATTATCGCAGCTATGGCAAAGGAAGATTCCCAGGTCAGCATGCATGAGGGAAGAAAAAGCCAGACTGAAGCTAGGCTAGCAAGGAGAATCTCGGTCAGTATATCACATTGTCTCAACTTTGTTCCAACAACAACAAAAAGAGAAGGAAAAAAACCATAGCAAGGTGTTGAATTTTCTAAATTCTTTTTCCTTAAACAAGCTTTAGTCAGGCAGTTAGATTTCTAACTATGACACAGTCATAATAAGCTTTAGCTGAAATTCTGGCTAGATCAACTGAAGAAAAAAGTGAAAACAAACACATTAGTCCTGGACAAGGCTCTAGACTGAACAATGTTTCCAATAGCTATTGAGTATGATGTGTAAAGATTCATTGCTAATTCTGATCATCAAAACTATAGGCTTTCAAAATTTATTCGGTTAGTTCAAATTCTGCTGCTCAAGTCACAATATTTTCTCTTCTTGCAAAAATGGTCTTTGTGAAGAACATTATCTTTTTTCACTAAGATTTTTTTTTATGTAGAAAACCTCTCTGATAACTAAATTTCATGTAGAACATTTCTATTAGGAACCTCATTTTGTCACATTAAGGGAATGAAAAAATGCATCTGAAAGCATTACTGAGAAAAATTAAAAGTAACCACTGCCTTTGCTACAGCTGTCTTGGTTAACATGTGACCACAGACATAATTTAGATTCCTGAAGTGGACGGGGTGGGCTTCTGGTTTGGCTATAGAGCTCAGTAGTTATGTTTAAATGGTTAACATTTATGACACACAGATATTTAAAAAAATAGAACATTAAAACATCAGTTCTAACATGATACAGCTGGAAAATGATGCAAAGAAAAAAATACTGAAAAATTAAGGACAGGCTTACATGAAAGATTGCTAATTTACAGGGAACAGCCTGGGTGCTATTAGAAATGTGGCAGCGAGTAAGGAAAATAGATCATCTACCATCTGCAGACAATTAAACCCAAAACTGCTGCTGCATAATATTTTGAAATATCCCCCTGTACCGTTCAAACAGTGCTGCTCCTTGTAACTAGACAACTGCAACAACTGGGTTTAAAGTGGTATAATTGTCTTTTCCACATTATTAATGAAAACTTTCTAGTCTTGCTAAGTTAGATGAATAAGCTAACAGTTGGGTCAGAAAACAGAGAACTCCCAGGGTATTACAAAGATAATTTTCTTGATATGATATGGTATGCAATTTTGCATGCTGATATAATAAATTGTGAACAGTAAAATGCTATTTGTCAGACTCATTACAAAGTTGGTACCAATTTCAAGCTTATACATACATACAACATTTGCATGGTCATAGACTAGTTATTCAGCCAACATTCCTATATGTATTTTTTGTTTTAGGAAAATTGTACCTGTCATACTTTTGAAGCATTATATTGTCTTATACAAAAACAGAGCAACTATACAATACTGAAAGATGTAAAACAAAATGACTAAAATGTTACTTGAAAATGGCTAAGATGGGTAGACATGTATTCACAACTAAAAGGAAGGCTCACTGAAAGCTGAGGCTCAAAACTCCCATAAAAAAGCACATTACAGATATCAGGAAGGGTTTCTATATGATGTTTACATTCTGTATTGTAAAGTGTTCAATTGTGATTATTATTTCTAGTTACAAGTAAAAAACTTCATTACCTAAAAATAGCGGTCAGCTAGCCTCCTGCCTGCTTTTGCAACTAAAGTTTTATTGGCGCAGTTGTGCTTGTTTGTTTACACTGTGTTGGTGGCTACTCTTGCACAGCAATGTCAGAGCTGAGTAGTCATGAAAGAGACCATCTGGCTCACAAAGTCTAAAATATTTACAATGTTTACAATGTGCCTTTTACATAAAAATTATTTGCTGTCCTCTGTCTTAAAACATCAGTAGAAATGCATTAAAGACAAAATCACTAAATTTGGTCAAATAAAGTCAGAAATTCCAATCCTGTGCTTTATCAACTTCGGGTCTCCCTTAGGCACAAAGGTATGCAGGGAAAAGTGAAGAATGCATTCCAGGAACCAGACTTCCCAAGTGCCATCTGAGTTGCATGCAGTGGGATCTTCTGGAATTTGATGAACCGGTATTTGTTCAACTAAGTTTTACATGACTCCAGTGTTCCTTTAAAAATGAATTTGTGTCAAGTAAATTTGGGCAATATGTAGGGCTGAAAAAGTTCTTAAAAAAAGGTCTTTTAAGAATTTAAAAAAAAAGGTCTTTTTTTTTTCATTTAGGAGCTTCCTAGGGGCCCTAGTGTACTCATGATGTACATTATAAAGACTATTTCAGATCAAGAAAAGAAAATATTGTCACCATAAAATGCTGAATGACAAATCTATATCATAGTTATGTTTCCATTTCTAAATCCATAGCTCAGTGATGGCAGATTAGCATATGTGAGTGGTCTCACTACACAATTTGTTTTCTCTTGCATTGAACATGAGAAATTAAAAGGAATTCATAGGTTTATGTTGAGATATTCTTTTCAGTTGTTTTGTCAGAGTACTTTCATTCTGTAGCATTGCAGCTTAGAAAGGATGCTATTTTTTAAAAAGAAAATGGTGAACAGAAAAAAAGAGAAATTTCTCATAGAGCATAGTGATTAAAAAAAGAAACACTCAAATTTCTGAATATAGTCAGAAACCATATCAGAACAATGGAAACCCTTCAAAGTTTCCTGAGGATCTCCCAGAACACATGTGCACATTCCAGTACAAACGTAAGTTCAATGAGACACTAAATGTCAAAACAGTGAAATTTTGTATAGAAAATTTGCCTTAAAATATGCTATTAGAATAATGATTTGTTTTCTTTTTGTTTAAGGTTTATGGTCTAACTACTATAACATGTTTGAAATGAATTTAGCATATGTTATCATGCAGTTTTTGTTTTAATTTCTAGCTACAATGAGATTAGCCAAATCTTAGCGAGGAAAGGAATGAATTATATGATTCTAATCCTCATACGAAAAAAAGTAAACAAACAAAACCCCCAACAATCCTCAAAACCTTTATGAACTGAAAACCTCCAAATTTAAAAGGTGATATATTTATGTATTTGTGCTTGGAAATCTTATAGAACACACTATGATTAACATTAATTTTTAAAATAAATGTATAATAAGAAAACTCCCAAATGGCTATATTGTCAAGGAGAAACACAGCTGGCATCATGGTATGGAAAATATTGTGACTGGTGAAAAGTAAACATTTTAAACTGATTGTTATATTATTTGGAATGAATATATCTCATTTAATAAGCAACATGGATTTTTAAGTGGACCCTGTCAGTTTAGAACTGATCAATGACAAAGTACTCCAAAACTAGCATAAAAAGCATTTCAACCCTACCAGTTACCACAAGGCAGCTGTAAGGTATGTCAGAGTTAAAGAAAACACAAGTACTGATCGCCAAGACACAGTTGGACCAAGTGGTCTTGAAAAGATTCAACTATAAAAATGTGAATGTGATTAAAATTTTTTTAAAGTTAGGAGAATTTAAGAATAACTAGAAGTTACTATTCACTGCACTGTAGAGATAAAGAAGAAGCCTGTGATTGGGAGGGTACAGCCAAGCTCATGTCTGTGGCCATTGAATGGTGTCGTCATATCTTACCTCGGGAGACAGAATTCTGTTGTGAGCTTGCCTAAGTAAACAGCAAAAATACCGTGACATACATCTATGAGGAAACTAGGTGTGTAAAGTCAAGGAGGATACATAAAAATACAGGCAATCCCCCACACTAACAATATGAAATAACATACCTTAGGCTTTGGCCTGTGTCTATTTTTATGAGGCTTTATATTTGAGATGATTAGTGTCAAAATATACCCTTGGAATATGGTTAAATAAGCAAAACATTAAATTTATAAATAATATGAAATATATCTTTAAGAGATGTACTTGGAATTACAAATTAGTTCCTTATGAAAAAAATACCCACCTCCAAACATTTTATGTAAAGATACCTGTCCATAGTTGTCATGAGAACACTGAAATCTTTATAAATTCAAAACATTGCTTAGGAAAATGGTTCAGTGTCTGGAAATCCAATTAAGCCACCACACTGTCAGCAGTATGTGGCAAAAAAGTCAGGATGTTTGAACTCCTTTAAATTTCAAACCTCTGTACTATATGGCACCAATAAAGTTATTAGACCTGACTATTTCTCTGTTATGACTAAGTAGTCAAGACGGAAATGCTTCCCCCACTGCAGAAAGAAAGCTTAGTGTGGGTGAGGAAAAGCATCGTGATTGTAAAGGTGGTAAAGCATCCAACTGTGCTGTGAAGGGCGGTCTCTGCCCCTGCACATGCACATGCAGAAATTAACAAAATAAAACGGTACGGACAGTGTAGTTTCCTTCTGCATTAGGATTTTATGAATAGAAATTACCATGCTATGTAATGAATATTAAAATTTGTTCCCCTCTTACCCTTAAAGAGGTTATTTGGATAGAGTTTGTTGCTGTGTAAATGTTTGCAAATGACTCAGAAAATATGAGTGGGGAATAGTCAATCAGGTCATCTGATTGCTTAATCATCCTTTGGTGAATTAAAAACAAATTACAATATTGATTAAATCTAGCTGTTGGAAGAAAATGATCCAAATCACTATCTAATTCATTCTATTGTGAAAACAGCAAACGTCAGATTTCCCTATTTACTAGTGTGCTATTTATATTGTATAATTATTTGAGTATGTAAATAAACATGCTGACAGATATTTCACTGTTTTTAGAATAAACTGGGCAGTGACTTAATTCTAACGAAGAGGAAAACAGACACCTACGCTGTGCAATACTCTAACTGGAGAGAGCTTCCTCTGGGTGACAGCCAGGAGTGACAAACACCCGAGAGGAGTTTGAACGCTTGAGGTCAAGCCTGGGCCTGAGGATTAGTAGCTGAGGGACCTTGGTAAGTCAGTCTGTCTCCCAAAATATGCATTTTCCTCATCTTAAGAATAACAATAGCAGTACCTGTCTCCTTTCTCACAGTAATGTTAAGGAAATAAGTGAGAACACATGTATGAAAGTGATTTTTAGCTGTGATGTTAAACATAAGGCATTACAAATTAGGCACTTGGAACTGGATTTACTTTAGAGACTTCAACAATATGTAGAATTCAATAAAGCAATCTGAACAGGGGCGATGACCTGAAGGTCTAAGAACATCAATATCTCATTCAAGGGCCTCATAATACTGTAATAATTAGTAGTTAATAGCATATTACAGTTTACAAAACTCATTGATATCTTTAATTTCATTTATTATTAATTTATCCCTATAAGTAAAAGCACTAATCAGGTATAATACATGAAGATGGAGTGTTTTAAAATCAACATAAATTGATTCTTGGAAATAAAATTATGAGCCCATAGGACAAAATACAAATGAGGTGAATACCTCACACACTGCCTGGCACATAACATGAAACCAAGAAATATTTGTCAAGCAATCTGAATATGAAGTTCATGTATCTTCATAAAAAGAGTTCAATGAGAATTTTGAAAATGCAGATGGTCATCCACGATATATTGAAATCCTGGCACCTGACAGTTACACAATGAAAGCAAGGTGTTTATATCCCACAGATCCCATGGAGAGACCACTGCCTCTGACCTGATCAAACCTGGTGCCACAGACCCCATGACGCCTTTTTACCATCGCATCGAAATTAAACCACACAGAACTTGCTCAGTGTGCACGGTTACTCCCGTGTTGGAAGGAGTGTATTTAGCTACAAGTGTTAATTTATAATGCCTTGTTTCAATGCGCTATTTTACACTTCTCAAACCTTTTTCTCATACACTTCCACACGTGAGGGCTGGAATCACACTACAAAGTTGACAGGATGACCTGAGAGCTTGGCGCACACGGTGCGCTTTCTTGTTTAGGGGCCGTTGTGTGGTGAGCCCAGCGGCTTGCCCAGCCATTTCTATAGCTCACTCTCGAGCGCATATTTGAACTGGCCTGGGAAATAGGTTCCACAACACCACCTGATTACCGGGTTCAAAGAGACACACACATTATCAGTTAAAAAATGAAACAAAACATGTGGACCATGGAACTACTTTGTATGTGAATGCACACCAGCTACAGGAGCGCTGTGTGGTACTATGGTTTCAAAAATCTATGCTGAGATCATATAAAATTTTATTTTAAAAGAATTTTAAAAAAGATAACCATTGAAAACTGCTTGGAACAGAGCAATATGACATATTTTTAAAAGTATGTCAACGTTGATTTTAACTGCCAATGTTAGCTGACATTAGATCCTGCGGCATACATACATACACACACACACCCACTCACATCAATGAAGTTAATATTTCAAGAAGTTTTAAATACCCTCTAAAGTCTTAAAGGACAAGTCAGGAGAACATCCCACAGTTTCAACCTACCTTTTGTGGCCACTCGAACACAGTCTATTTTGGTTTCCTGTGTCAAATAAAGAGGGGGAAAATCACTATTCATGTTTTATTTAAGACAAAAGTATCTGCAGTTCTGTTTAAATACTGATAAGGAAAGGTCGAATTGCTCCAAGTGGGGCGTTAATCACCTGACGGCTACTCCTTGAATTAAGCCCAGATGCACCTTCCAGCTTCCAGTACCAGTGGTGGTGGGCATTTCCGGAGCAGATTAGAAGTGAGGAGCTGAACACAAAATGTGCCTTCACAGGTAGCAAGTAAGGGTTGGTAGAAGGAGGCCAGGGGCTGCCAGGCAGACACATTTTGTCCAAGATTTCCTCCCTTCTCGCCGGTAAAAGTCAAGTTACTAATGACACCCAGATGCATGCCATGAAGGAGGCAAACCACTGTTGTGTTGGGAAAACCTGCCCTTCTAAGGATATGATGCTATCTTATCAGAGTTCTGGGTTGGTCTGAACAGAATAGGGAAAAAAATTAGGAATGATTCGATAGTTTTTATTTTGTTAACATCCCGTCTTTCTAAAGCTGTTTTCTCTTTGAAGAAAAAAGATAGCTAATTTAGTCACAGTTATAGGAAGCATAAACTCTTGTGGAAACAAAGAAATGGGACAGAATATGCTGAAAAGACAGATGTTGTGAATCTCACAATATTTTAAATGAGCTGAATGTATGTGTGGTAGCTATAGTCTTTTCCTGTAAAACAGTAAGCTAAGCAGAGTTACTAGCCAACTTTTGGTAACAAGTAAAAACTGAAAATAAAAACCATCATATTGACAATATAGTCTTTCCACCAAAACAAATATGAATATATTCATTTCTTTCCATAAATTCCTCTAGGTGTATATAATTTTCAAAAGAGAAAAAATACCACACTTGTTCCAAGTAAAAAACCACACAAAAGAATGACTATTTCTTACTACTTTCTTATTTAATCTATGTTTCCATTAATAACCTTAAATAGCCTAAGTAAACAGCCATCTATAAGACGGCCATCTATAAGACTTACCCCATTGGCTCTACTAGCGGCTTGAAAATAAATTCTGTAGCTTTTATGAGGGAGAAGGGGAGTGTTCCAGTATCCATTGTATGTCTTGTTATCACCGACAGTAAAAGGCTGAGCCGCCTGCAGGCTGTTTGCTGGGAATTCGGCAGCGAAGTAGTACTGTGAGTTCAGGATGGAAGCATTCTGGAAGTGTATTGGCACTGGGTAGCACTTCAAGATTTCTGTTGTCTTTTTTGTTCTTCGAGGACTTTCTTCCTCAACAACTATTTGGTAGACACTAGAAGAAAAAGGATTATCAGTGATATTTTATGATAACTGAGCCGATGCCCTTTGCCTGCAGTTGCATGGACATAAAGGGTATCCAAAACAAAGAATACACTGGATTAGTCAACAGTAGGCGCTTAGTACATAATATACACTCACAAGACACTTGCTCAATGACAGAGGCAAAGTGCCGAACCTGTCACAGAGCTCTCTCATCCTCCAAAATACAATTTTTTGAGGAAATAATATTCACATAATTACAAAAGTTTTATATAGCAATCTTTGCTATTTATGGGAGTAGAACACTAAAATAATATTTTTCTCAAATGAAATTGAAGATGAATTTGTAGACAATTAACAGTTTATGTAATAAATAAAATTATACTAACTATAAATTTTAAAAAGGCAATGTATTACTTTCTTCTATGACATTTGTACAAATACATGTAAAGCTTTAACAGGCCACAAAATACAATGAGTAATGACTCACGTTAAGTAAGATTTGACTTTGATATTTTTTTGATATAATAGATTTTATTTTTTATTATTATTTATGCTGTTACAGTTGTCCCAATTTTTTCCCTTTGGCCCCTTCCACTCAGCCCTCCTCTGTTCCATAGTCAGTCTTTACACCATTGTCAATGTCCATGGGTCCTTCTTATATGTTCTTGGACTATTCTCTTCATCCTCTTTGAAATAGTCAGTTCCCTCCTCTCCTCTTACCACTGTCAGTCTATTCTATGATTCTATGCCTCTGGATTGATTTTGCTCATTTTTTTGTTTTGTTGATTAGGTTTCACTTATAGGTGAGATCATATGGTCTTTGTCTTTCACTAACTGGCTTATTTCACTTAGCATAACAGTTTCCAGTTTCAATCATGCTGTTGCAAAAGGTTGGAATTCTTTCTTTTTCCTGCTGTGCAATACTACTCCATTGTATAAATGTAGCACAGTTTTTTCATTCACTCATCTGATGGGCACTCAGACTGTTTTCAACACTTGACTATTGTACACAGAGCTACTATGAACATAGGGGTGCATAAGTCCTTTTGAATTGGTGTTTGGGATACTTAGGGTATAATCCCAGCAGTGGGAATGCCTGGTCAAAAAGTAGTTCCATTTTTAGTTTTCTGAGGGAACTCCACATTGTTTTCCATAGTGGCTGCACCAGTCTGCATTTCCGCCAACAGTGCACTTGGGTTTGTTTCCCTTTTTCCACAGCCTTGCCAGCACTTGTTGTTTGATTTATTAATGATGGCCATTCTGACAGGTGTGAGGTGATAGCTCATTGTGGTTTTAATTTGCATCTCTCTGATGGCTAGTGATGCTGAGCACTTTTTCACATGTCCATGAGCCACCTGTATGTCCTCCTTGGAGAAGTGTTTATTCAGGTCTTTTGCCCATTTTTTAATTGGACTGTTTGTCTTCTTGGTGTTGTTTGAGTTCTTTATATATTTTGGAGATCAAACCCTTGTCTGATCTATCATTTGCAAGTATGTTTTCCCATATGATTGGTTCTCTTTTCATTTTGATAATGACTTCTTTAGCCATGCAGAAGCTTTTTAGTTTGATGTATTCCCATTTGTTTATTTTTTCCTTTATTTTCCTTGCTAGGAGATATATCTCTAAAAAATATTGCTATGTGGGATATCTGAAATTTTACTGCCTATCTTTTATGCTAAGAGTTTCACAGTATTATGACTCATATTTAAGTCTTTTATCCATTTTGAGTTTCTTCTGGTGTATGCTGTAAGTGGATGTTCTAGTTTCATTGTTTTGCATGTACCAATCCAGTTCTACCAGCACCATTTATTGAAAAGGCTATTTTTTACTCCACTGTATGCTCGTGCCCCCTTTGACAAATATTAATTGACTTAGAGACATGGGTTTATTTCTGGGCTCTCTATTCTGTTCCATTAATCTATGTGTCTGTTCTTATGCCGGAACCAAACTATTTTGATTATAGTGACCCTGTAGTATAGTTTGATATCAGGTGTTGTGATTCCTCCATCTTGGTTCTTCTTTTTCAAGATTGCCGAAGGTATTTGGAGTCTTTTTTGGTTCCATATAAATTTTTGCAGTATTTGTTCTAGATCTGTGAAATATACCATTAGTATTTTAATAGGAATTACATTTAATTTATAGATTGCTTTGGGTACTATGGACATTTTATTGATACCGATTCTTCCAATATATGAACATGGTATATTTGATGTTTCCTCATACTCCTTTCCCCTTCACCATATTCAGTCAGTGGAAAGAGATGGCATAAGAAAAGCAGGGAAACAGGATTGGATTTCAAAAGCCAAGGCCTTGGAGTTATAAGAAATTCCTAGGAGTAAATTCTGAACAATTCTAATTCAATTACATATAAAGATAAGATGGGAAATGATCATCCTTCAAAGATGCTGCACAGCATGATGTCCCTATGGAGTGGACCTCCCACCTCCCCTCCCACTCCTCCAATGTCTTTGAATTCTGAAGTAACCTGAGGAGAGTAAAAGAAATCTTAAAGAGACAGACTTTGTTATTTACTAAGATATATACATTTGCTATATTTTGTACAGTTTTGTTAAAAAATAGTTTCTAATATTGAGAAAAACTAAACTTTGATGACAGCTTTCAAAAACTGAACCCAGATTAGACTGAAAGTCCTGCAGTGAGATGCATCTTTTTCTTACTACGTCAAAAAGCACTGTTTCTCCTCCAAACACCGCTGTAATTCTAGAGTTGCTCAGAATTGGGTACCAGGCCCGCCAGCCTGGGGCTCCTGTCTGTGTGTACTCTGAATTTGCACTCAGCGAAATCAGCTATTTCTAAGACTTCAACTACTTAGCGTGTTAGTGTAATGTAATCCAGCTTCTGTTCAGTTTGTATTGATAATTCTGTTTAAACAAAAATCAATTGTCGTAGAACATTGCAATGATTGCTCAGTAGACAGGTAGTCCAGCAGGTTTATGGTGTAATACTAAAGAGAATTCTGAGCAGTGATGTAAACTTAAAAAGAAATACAACTCTTACTTCTTAACATCAGAGACTTATGGTCATGTACAAGGGTCTACCAAATGTGGTAGAGTTCTTACTCTATGATAGAGCCAACGTGAAAGGAACATGATGGAGGTAACATGGACTTTGAGTTCTAGCCCTCTTCTTCCTGACTTCTTACAGCTACAGTCAGAAGTAGCTATTTTAAAATATATGTGCAAAATTCTTTGAAATTTCTCCCCTTAAGAATGAGGTTGGTCTACCTTAATGATTACATTCAGCCAACAAAATGTAACAGAGGAACAATGTGTAGATCACAGAAGGCCATGCATCTTCAGCCTGGTTTCCCAGGGAAGCTAGCTAGGAAAAAAAGCCTGAACTGGCCATGCTAGAGAGGCCACATGCAGACATGTGCCATAGTTCCCAGCCAACAGCCAACATCACTGACAGGCATGTGCATGTGCCATATTGGAAGGCTACACAGCTGAGCCTTCAGGTGATGGCAGCCATTGAAGATGCCAGGCAAAAAAATCTTAGCCAATCTTTTGCTGGCCCACAAAATCATGACAAAATAGAAAGGTTGTTCTAAACTGCCAAATTCTGGATATGCAGCAAATATTAACAAAAGTATTGGGTTATAGAAGAGCATGAATACGGGGTCATGGTCAAAGCAAAAGACCAGACTTCTGGCCAAGATGGAGGCGTAGGTGGAAACACTGTGCCTCCTTGCACAACCAAGTTTAAAAACAACAAAGTTTTAGTAACAAAAACGCAGCCAAAAACAGAAAATTGAACTGCATGGAAGTCTGACAATGACACACCATTCATCCAGACCAGTAAGAGAGGCGGAGTCAGCGGTGGAGCAGGTTGGGCAGGAAAGATCAGAAGGACGCACCCAGGAGCTTGGGAGCCCAGGCGGCAGTTGGTGGATCCCAAGTGTGGGGTGGCAATGGGCGGAAGGTGGCTGGCTGACCACAGTCACACATTCGCGTGCAGATAAACCAAGTGAAGGAGCAGCAGCGAGACAGACCGCTCAGGCCAGGGACCTAGCAACAGGAATTAGAGCCTGAAAGCACCAATTGGAAAGACTTTTGGGGTTGAGGTGCTCTCCCCGGTTCACAGAGAGTTTGTTGGAGAGACTCACAGGGTTCTGGAGGGTGCACAGGCCCACACACCTGGGAACCAGCGCCAGAAGGGCCCAATTTGCTTGTGGGAAGCGGTAGAGGGGACAGAAATCTGAGAGAGCTGAACAAACACCATTGCCCCTCTCTGACCCTGCCCCCACTTACAGCGTCAAAAACCAGCAACTGGGTTGTCCCACCTTGGTGAACACCTAAGGCTCTGCCCCTTGTACGTAATAGGTGTGACCTGACCAAAACATTATGGCTCAAGCAGAAAAAGAGCTCAAAGCCCCAGAGCCAATAAATCTAAGCAACCAAGAGATAGCTAACCTTTCAGATGCACAGTTCAAAACACTGGTGATCAGGATCCTCAGAGAACTGGTTGATTTTAGTCCCAAATTAGAAGAACAAATGAAGGCTAAACTAATTGAAATGAAGGGAAATGTACACGAAACCAATAGTGATGGAAAGAAAACTGGAACTCAAATCAATGGAGTGGACCAGAAAGAAGATGAAAATGACCAAACAGAAAAGAATGAAGAAACAAGAATTCAAAAAAATGAGGAGAGGCTATGAAACCTCCAGGACCTCTTTAAACATTCCAACATCTGAATTATAGGGATACCAGAAGGGGAAGAATAGCCCTAAGTGGGAAACTTCTTTGAACAAATAATAAAGGAGAACTTCCCCAATCCGGCAAAGGAAATAGCCTTCCAGGTAATCCAGGAAGCTCAGAGAGTCCCGAAGAAGTTGGACCCAAGAAGGAACACACCAAGCCACATCATAATTACATTAGCCAAGATTAAAATGAAGGAAAGAATCCTAGAAGAAGCAAGAGATAAGGGGATAGTCACCTACAAAGGAGTTCCCATCAGACTGTCAGCTGATTTCTCAAAAGAGACCTTAC